CTCTTTACGGTGAGCTAGGGCGCATGCCACTCTTGGTTTACAGAAAAATCAACATAATAAAGTACTGGGTGAAAATTTTAAAACTTCCAGATAACTCATTAGTTAAAAAAACGTACATTTTTCTTAAGTCAGATGTTGAAAACGGGGTAGATTATAGAGGAAAAAATTGGGCCGGCCAAGTTAAAAGTATACTGGAAACACATGGATTAAGTTACATTTGGGACCAACAAGAATTTGTTGATATTCCATTCCAAATGATTAAGCAACGTATCTTTGACGCGTACTTACAACGCTGGTATAGCGATATAAATAATTCCACGCGTTTGGAGTCTTACTGCATATTCAAACATAGTTTTAAAGTCGAACCATATTTAAATTGTTCTTTAGAGCCAAAATACAAAATAGCCCTCTCAAAATTTAGAACCTCCTCCCACAACTTGTTTATCGAAACAGGTCGCTATGACAACACGCTGCGTGAACGACGTATTTGTAAATCGTGCACAATGAATGTAGTGGAAAATGAGTTTCATTTTTTTTTACTTGCCTGTCCTAATTACCGCGAACTCCGAAAAAAATATCTTAAACCATATTTCTGCCGATGGCCAACAATAAATAAGTTTGAACTTCTAATGAATTCTAAATCAAACAAATCTATTTCCCAACTAGCAAAATTCGTTTTCTTTGCAGATAAAATCCGCGTTTCGTAGACACCTGAAGAAAATAACTCACAAAAAATTGTATTTGTTTCAAGACTTTGTAAAATATCTAACACAAAATTATATTTGTTAAAACAATTTGTATGCTTTTTTCTCTTTTGGATATGTTTTCATTTGCCAATGTATATATTTGTATGTGCTATAAGCATTGTAAAATGTTTAATGCAATAAAGATATTGAATTGAATTGAATTAAATTAATTAAATCTTAAATTACTTATCTAACTGTTAAAACCAATTAGGTCCTGAAACCAATTAAAGAGACTTAAACGACGTGCTAGTAATACATGATAACCGGCAATTAAAATTACTATGAAACGTGTGAATCACGAGTGACAACATCTCAACTTGATGTCGCCGACCTTTGATCAGTCGGCTGTTTTCACACTTCGACTAATTGAGATGAAAATATGCTGGACTTTAATTGTCGGGGCCAAATTTTCTTTTCGACTAAACAGGAGTCTCGGTAAGTCAAAATTTGACCTAAGCGGAGTTAAAATACAAAGATAAAGAAGGAAATTTGACGGGACTTTAGAAATTCTATGACTAACGCGGAATTTTGAGTAAAGCGATTTTGACTTATTGAGAGTCAACTGTATATATATATATAATATATATATATATATATATATATATATATATATATATATATATATATATATATATATATATATATATATATATATATATATAATATATATATATATATATTTGGAGAAAATAAACATTCATACAGTGCTAAAGTACAAATACCCAAGTACTTTCGGCGTATTATGCCTTCATCAGGGGTGTATTACATGTATAATGTGCACACAATCGAGCACAAAATCTCAATACGTGTGTACTGTATATAGTATCAAAAATTGAACTGAAACACAGTCGCTAGAAAGGTGATAAAATTACATCGATTATGAATAGACCGTTATTGAATGGCCAGTGTGTAGTAATTTACAAAAGAGAATATAGCCTGCGGTCAATATGGCATAAACTCGGTTAAATATATCTATACAACTGTGTTTAAAAGAAAAAAATATATATAAACTAAAAATATAATAAAATTTCACATATATAAGGGCGTTTTGTGTTTTTATTACTATTACAATTTTATACTTTAGCACTGTATGAACGTTTATTTCTCCAAATTTATTGTTTTTTTCCACGTTCTTGTATCCTTCTTTGGATCCAGTGTTTTTGAAAGGTATATTGTAGATGCAAATATTTTTCACAAACCTATACAAACAATATATATATATATTGTGAACACCGACAAATGTTATATATGTATTTGTTAAGTCGGGGGCTTAATGCAATATGGACGTAACTACTTTTTTCAGAGCTTTTGGTAAAATTTAAAGATAGTAATTTAATGGTATGCACAACTACTTCCAATAGAACAAGAGCCATGTCAACATGGCCATCCCCCGCCGAATGTGTTTGCTCATTGGAAGAATGTATATGTAGTAGAGCAGAATAATTCCATTTTAAGAGGTCTTTTGGCAATGAAAACTGATGGCTATAGTGATTACAGATTTGAAACCTATGTGAATACTGATGGCTGAAAATAACAAAGGGCAATAACTGAAAAATAATGCAGGGTAGGTTATCATTCTTGTGTGCTGCATCCCTCCTCAGTAAAATCTATCCACCTATGAAGTTTCAAGTTGATACCTCAAATACTTTTTGAGAAAAAAATTGAATTGAAAAATTAAGTATGAAAAATAACAAAGGACAATAACTCAAAAATTATAAAAGACACAGTTATCATTCTTGTGCAGTGCACACCTCCTGAGTGAGATCTATGCACCTATGAAGTTTCATTTTGATATCTCAAAGGCTTTTTGAGTTATGCTCTGGACAAAAATTAATTTTGAAAAATAACAAAGGGCAATAACTCAAAAATAATGCAGGGTAGAGTTATCATTCTTTAGCACTTCACTCCTCCTCAATGAGATCCATCCACCTATGAAGTTTCAAGTTGATACCTCAAATACTTTTTGAGATAAGCTCTGGACAAAATAGCATGAAAAAAACAACAAAGGGCAATAACTCAAAAATTGTATAGGGAAGAGTTATCATTCTTGCGCACAACATTGCTCCTTAATAAGATCTATCCTTCTATGACATTTCATGTTGATATCTCAAACACTTTTTGAGTTATGCTCCACTCAGGTGAAAAATTATGTATGAAAAATAACAAAGGGCAATAACTCAAAAATTATAAAAGGAAGAGTTATTATTCTTGTGCACTGCACACCTCCTGAGTGAGATCTATGCACCTATGAAGTTTCATGTTAATATCTCATAGGCTTTTGGAGTTATGCTCTGGACAAAAATCAATTTTGAAAAATAACAAAGGGCAATAACTCAAAAGTCATGCAAGGTAGAGTTATCATTCTTGTGCACTGCACTCCTCCTCAATGAGGTCTATCCACCTATGAAGTTTCAAGTTGATAACTCAAATACTTTTAGAGATATGCTCCGGACAAAAATTTCGGACGGAAGGACGGACGGACGGAGACTATTTCTATATCCTCCGCCGAAAATTTTCGGCGGGGGATAATAAATTAGAACTTAAATCAACAAGAGCCATGTTATCATGGCCATCCAGACGGAATGTCATTGGAAGAATGTATATACATGTAGTAAAGCGAAGCGGAACATGCCGGTGATGTGTACAACTAGGGATGGTACTGATAATTCCTGTAAAGTTTGGTTGAAATCCCACCAATAATTTGGACTAGATTTTTTCTATTTTTAGCTCTGGCCGGCGGCACGAAATACCCAAATATACCCAAAATACACCCAAATATTGCCCATATATACCCAAATGTAGCAATATTCATTTATTTTTGTATAAAATACAGATTACAATGAGAAAATTAATCAATATTTATAACATAGTACGACTTAGGCGGCTATAACTTTCATTCATTCCGTTGAAATGGGCAGTTCAGATGTTGTAAGAAAATAATCTTGTGACATTTGCTAGTCTACAGTAGGTTCATTAATGAATATACTTGCAACTTAAGATAAAGATATGATTAAATTTGTTGACTTCGTTTTTCTTTTTTTGGTATAACTTTGCTAAAATTTCATACATGCAAGTGTCCATCGTATTATTTTTTTAGAAAATTTAATATAGCCTTAATGGGGTATACTGTATTTGGGTATATTTTGGTGATAGGAAAATGTATATTTGGCTATGTTTGATTTGATCTAAGTGAATGTTTATATTGTAATTCATAATAAAAATAGCGTTTTTTGTTATAAAACATTTATTTTTAGTATATTTGGACATTATTTTTAGTATATTTGTGCAATATTTGGGTATATCGTGCTGCCCGCTCTGGCGGCCATTTTGTGCAGCAAAGCGGATCATGCTAGTATTGTGCAGAACTAGGGATGGTACTGATCACTCCTGTAAAGTTTGGTAGAAATCCCACCAGCAGTTTGACCTGTGAAGGCTGGTCAAGATCTTTATTTTTAGCTCTGGTGGCCATTTTGTGCAGCGAAGCAGAACATGCCAGTGTTGTGCACCACTAGGAATAGTTCTGATCACTCCTCTAAAGTTTTGTTGATCGAGATCCCACCAGTAGTTTGACCAATAAAGGGCAGACAAAATTTTTCTATCTTTAGCTCTGACAGCCATTTTGTGAAGCGAAACGTGACATGCACATCTACGGATGGTATTGATCACTGTAAAGTTTGGTTGAAATTCCACCAGTAGTTTGCCTGTGAAGGCCAGACAAACTTAAAGCGGACAGACGGACACAAAACGAACGGACAGACAGAGGCGGAGGCAAAAACAGCATGTGTCCCAACCATTTTGGAAGACATAAGGTATTCTTGCACCCATGCATATACGACTTTGTAAAACTTATTTGTCCAGTTTCATGGTCAATTTTGACTTGTGGGGTATGAATAAAGCAATCTTAGTTGTGGCCCAATATACATGTACATTGCTATACACAAATATTGATTTTTAAGGAGATTCACCTTAAAACTATTTGGTTGGCCAGACAATGATAATAAAAGCTGACCATAAGCACCATGTTTTATTTGTTAAACATGTTTTACGCCCAGTTTTTCTGGGGTGACTTGTTTGAGAGGCGGGTTTGACAATTGGTTACAACTATGGCTTAGGGTGTGAGGCCGTTCGCTAGCGTTCTGGAATAGATGAAAAAGACAGTTATAAACAGTTATTTAACGTTTAATCCTGAAAGTCCAAAGTAAGAATCACTCATTTATATATATATAAATATAAAAAAATATAATTCGAAAACGTAATAGTTTTTAAACATAATAAAAACATATTACAACATATATACTGTTATTTTCAGACTGCAATAAATGTATATTTAACAAGATATGTTTGTAAAACATGTATGCCCCCTATCAGCAGCCAATTAGTCATTTGATCAGTTTATTATGACTGACTTTTGACCTAGTGACCAAAAATCAATAAGGGTTAATTACTTGGTCATGACTAGTCACTAGAAAATTGTGAAGCAAAGGTTGTGTGCAGCAATTTTATGACAAAAGTTATTTCAAATCTTACCAAATAATATATGCATAAATTTTATGAATCATATAGGCCTCATTAATGACAGCCAAGTTGTTATATTATGTAAGACCTTGAAATGTGTATACCAAAAGGATTTTTAGTTTAACAAGAGCCATGTTATCATGGCCATGCCCCGCCGAATGTGTTTGCTCATCGGAAGTGATCTTTAAAATATTTTTGCAATCATTCACTTATTATTTAGATCTTATTCTATTTTAAAAAAAATCAACTTAACACATTTTACAAGAAAACATATTTACACAAAGTTTTGTAACTTTTGTTATAAGTCCTTTTTTCATAGATAAAAGGTTATAAAGACAGAAATTTCAAACTGCCTGAAATGCAAGTATAATTACAAATAGTTAAAATTATGGTAAGCTGGGGCAGAAATAGTTACATTATTAGTCCCAGTGGTAAGCAAAGGGTTTAATTATGATTCTAAACCCTAATTATATAAAAACTTGAAAATGAAAAACATTAAAAACTACAACATAATAATTTCATAAGTAGAAATAAATATATAAAGTTAATAAACAGTTGCAAATTCAGATGATAAAATTTTACACTATGCTTAACAAAGTACAAATATCTAGAACATTAAATATCATATTTAATAAAATATTCTAAATTGTACATTTGAAAATAAAAATATCACATATCTGGAATATATAAAAAAGACAGTTTTAAACAGTTAACATTTAATCGTAAGTCCAAAGTTAAAATGACTTCAGCTTTGTCTTTTGGTAAAAAAAAAAATTAGCTTTTTTCCCCAGGAAAGATAATTGTAGAACAAACACAGGAACTAGGGTTTCATACCTATCTTTGTGTTATAATCAATTATGGGTCTGGTATTTTGCTTAAGGGATTGACACTGCTTACTAAGATATGTCATTCTAGTATGAGTTGATAAAACTACATTGTTTAAGATTTGGCTGTTTTAACACTTATAGAATTTAAGCCAGCACATACATTTTCAGACAATAATAGCTCAAGCTGACTTGATGGTTTCTTTAACTATGTTATTATACTAAAGTAATTTTGGCAAGTTTGAAAAATTAAGTATCAGAAATTTACACAATCAATAAAATGGAAATTATAAAAACTGAAAAATATTTAAAGCAAAAGAATTTAAGAAAAACATAGTAATATTAAAATTATCAAAAGTAAAACATATAGATATTACACTAGTTGTTATAGTAAATAAAATTACAAAATAATAAATAAAATACAATTAGATCTTGACTGTCAGAAGTGTGAGAAGCTACACACTGTCAAGTAATTTATCTGAAGATGTACACAATGCCCTTTTCCCCCATTGTGTAGATTTTTCAAAAGTCTTGCAATATCTGACATTGGATTTATAAAGTACAAATTCTTCCTCCTGGTACAAGTGACAAGTTACGGCCAATTTGGCAGGCACAGCGCTTCTTTATGTCCAATGTGTGACAGTGTCAAGCTCTTTCATTGATATGAGGCACCAACAATTCTTTTGGACATGGCCACATGTTTTTCAGTCATTCCTTCCTGAAATCAGAAAACCATAGTATTAAACATATTTTACCAAATAATCAATGATTGTTTTCAAATCATGAATTAATAAAATTGTTTTTATGCCCCCCAAGGGCGGCATATTTAACTCGAACCGTCCGTCTGTCAGTCTGTCTGTCAGTCCCGCTTTATAGACAGTGGTGGTCGTGTCCGCTCTAAAACTTCAGTATGCATGGAAGGATTGTAATTTTTCTTTCACATATGAAATAACCATAGATGTATGGTGTGTCACGAACAAAACTCTGGTTCCTACGACTAAGGTCAAGGTCACTGTGGGGGTTCAAACTTTATCATTTTTAATGTTATATAAATAAAGAAGGTGGTGGTCGTGTCCGCTCTGAAACTTCAGTATGCATGGAAGGATTTTAATTGTATGGTGTGTCGTGAACAAGACTGGGGTTTCTATGACTAAGGTCAAGGTCACTGTGGGGGTTCAAACTTTGTCATTTTTTTATGGTATATAATATAGAAGGTGGTGGTTGTGTCTGTTCTAAAACTTCAGTATGCATGAAAAGATTTTAATTTTTCTTTCACATATGAAATAACCATATAGATGTATTGTGTGTCCCGAACAAGACTCGGGTTCCTACGATAAAGGTCAAGGTCACTGTGGGGGTTCAAACTTTATCATTTTTATGTCATATAAATATAGAAGGTGGTGGTCGTGATCGCTCTAAAACTTCAGTATGCATGGAAGGATTGTAATTTTTCTTTCACATATGAAATAACCATAGATGTATGGTGTGTCGTGAACAAGACTGGTTTCTACTATTAAGGTCAAGGTCACTGTGGGGGTTCAAACTTAGTCATTTTTATGTGTTAAAAATATAGAAGGTGGTGGTTTTGCCTCTCTGAAACTTCATATTCATAAAAGGATTGTAATTTTTCTTTCACATATTAATTAACTATAGATGTAAGGTGTGCCGCAAAAAAGACTCTGGTTTTTACGACTAAGGTCAAGGTCACAGTGGGGGTTCAAACTTTGTCATTTTTTATGTTATATAAATATATAAGGTGGTGGTCGTGTCCACTCTTAAACTTCAGTATGCATGGAAGGATTGCAATCTTTCTTTTATATATGAAATAACCATAGATGTATGATGTGCCGCCGAAACTAGAGTGTTAACAAGGTTTTTCTATTTTAGCTCCGGTGACCTACTTTTTCATCCGAGATTACCCATGTTCGAACTCATCCAAGCTATCAACTAGATAAGCATCCTGACCAAGTTTGATGATGATTGATGCAAAAATGTGACCGCTAGAGTGTTAACAAGGTTTTTCTATTTATAGCTCCGGTGACCTAGTTTTTCATCCAAGATGACTTATATTCGAACTCATCCGAGCTATTATCTAAACAAGCATCCCGACAAAAGTTTGATGATGATTGGGTCAAAAATGTGACCACTAGAGTGTTCACAAGGTTTTTCCTATTTTTAGCTCCTGTGACCTAGGTTTTTCATCAGAGATGACCCATGTTCGAAACTCATCCAAGCAATTGACTAGACAAGCAATCTGACCAAGTTTGATGAAGATTGGTTCAAAAATGTGACCTCTAGAGTGTTCACAAGGTTTTTCTATTTATAGCTCCTGTGACCTTCTTTTTCATCCGAGATGACCCATGTTCGAACTCATCCGAGCTATCACCTTGACAAACATCCTGACCAAGTTTGATGATGATTGGGTCAAAAATGTGACCTCTAGAGTGTTCACAAGGTTTTTCTATTTTTAGCTCTTGTGACCTAGTTTTTATAAGAAGCATAAAATTGTGCTATTTCAAAAGATTAAGGTATGGATCTCAGGACTTTCAGTCCAAACTTATGATAAATGCAAGATCAGCAAACATGGAATTTAAAAATTTATCATGTTAAGCTTTGACCTCTTAGTGTGACCTTGACCTTGGAGGTCGGGGTACAGGTGTTATGCATGACATATCGTCTAATATTTGTAAATATTTGTGCCAAGTATTTTCAAAAAATCCTTTTAACTTAGAAGAAGTTATAGATTGGACACAAAATATACCCTATAAATGTAAATCTTTGACCTCTTAGTGTGACCTTGACCTTGGAGGTAGGGACACAGGTGTATCTTATCATTGTGACTTAATTTGTGCCAAGTATTTTTAAATTCCCTTGATCTATGAAGAAGTTATGGACAGGACACAAAATATACCATATAACAGACTGTTAACCTTTGACCTCTAAGTGTGACCTTGACCTTGGAGGTAGGGGTGCAGGTTTGTACTTGACATATCCTCTTACTATCGTGACTATTTTTGCCTAGTTATTTAAAAAAAAGACCTTGGCCTTGGAGGTAGGTGACAAGTTGTTGCGCATGACACGTCGTCTCAATATTGTGAATAATTGTGGCAAGTATTTTGTAAAATCCCTTCAAAGATAAGAAAGTTATGGACCGGACACGACATATACCCTCAAATAGACAATGTTGACATTGAATGAGCAAGTGCGCCCTTGAACTTGGAGGTAGTGATCTGGTTGTTGCGCATGACACATTGCCTTATTATAACAAACATTTGTGCCAAGTTATTTCAGATTCCTTTGATAATTGACAAAGTTATGGACCAGGCACGAAAGTGTGACGGACGGACAGACAGACGGACGTTCTTACCAGAGCTACATTATGGGGTTTTCTTTTGTTATTTCTTTTGTTCTTTTTAACCCCAACCAATGCAGAAAATAACCCCACAAGAGAAACAGAATGAATGACAGCAAAGACATCTATTGTTATGAGAACAATAGACCAAACCCATAATGTACCTCTGGTTTGTACGGACAGACAGACGGACGGACATACTCACACAATGGTACTTATGTGTCTTTTACTTTGATCTTTTTGGCCACTTTTAGTCACATAAGGCTTAAAAAAAGACACACAAGTAAAAACAGAACGAAAAGGATCAAAGAGAATTTACTGTTACCAATTGTTTTTCAAGTCACACAAGTACCTCTGGGTTTGTACCGACAGACGGACGGAGCCTATTACTATATCTCCCTTTTTTTCTTTGAAAAGACAGGGGACAACAAACTTGGTGGATCCTCACTAGATGATGTGTCATGCTTAATATCTAAGCTCTAGCTATTTTGGATTTTAAAAAGATTTTTTTTATACATACATTTGTATAAAGAAAATTAATGACTCCTGTGGCAGGCAAATTATAACCCCAGGGCTTTTATTTGAACAACACTCATTAAAAGATGGATCATGACAAATATCTAAGCTGCAGCTCTTTGGGTTCTTTAAAAGAAAATTTTTTAAGTTTTAAGTTTTTTCTTTTGGTTGCCATGGCAAGCAGAGTTCTGCATGGAATTAAATCTTATGAACAATATTTTAAGGTGACCACCATTCCCGTGAAGTTTGAATGACATTGGCTAAACTGTTTATGAGAAGATGTCATTCAAAGTAAAAGTTAACAGATGGCTGGATGGACGCAGGATGATTTGCGATAAAAAAAGCTCACCTGGTCACTTAGAAACATCTAATCTAAGCTAAGATTAATACCTTCTTTCCATCATATCCCTTGAATATGAACTCTGAGTTTGACTATTTTCCAACTTTTCAGCATCTGTATCAAAAAAGAAGAGGACAAACTTTAAGTTAAAACACTTAAAACAAATTTAAAGTCAATCAAAATCACTGCCTTTTTCTAAGTATTTCCATAACAAAAAGACCATGTTGGTATTTTGTTCAAAAGCAACTAGAGCTATCACTAAATGTGATTAATACCCCTGCAAGACTGCTCAGGAAATGAGGAAGTTACTAGTAACAGAAAACCTTTTAAATGAATTGAAAAAGAGTTATGGTTGTGGGCAATTAAAGATGGTTAGGGTTCTTGTATGTTTCATTTCCTTTCAATGTGGTTGACCATTGATAAAGTTTCATTGTATTACTATGTTATATGTCCAGATAGAGTAACAGTTCTTGAACACTGCACTTCCTCTCATTGCATTTGCCCATTGGATGAAGTTGCATTGAATTCCAAACATTAGTTTTTAAGTTATGCACCATTCAAGGAAAATGAACACAGGGCAATAACTGAAGATGAAGTTATTGTTATTGTACACTGCATCTCCTCTCATTGGGCTTGACCATTGTATGAAGTTGTAATGAATTCCAACTATTAGTTTTTAAGTTATGCACTGGACAAGAAAAGGTAATAAAAGGACAATAACTATGTAATAAGTCCAAATAGAGTTAAGTTTCTTGTGCATTGCACTTCATATCACTGCGCTTGACCAATTTGTATGAAGTTGCATTTAAATGAAACTATTAGTTTTAAGTAATGCACTGGACAAAAAGTAACAAAGGTCAATAACTATGTATTTAGTCCAAATAGAGTTATGGTTCCTTAGCACTGCACTTTAATTCACTGCACTTGACCATTGTATGAAGTTGTTTTGAATTCCAACTACAGGGTTGCCAGCACCATTGAAAAACAAGAGCCAGTTCAACCGGGGGACTTGATCTCCCTGAATAGGTTTTGGATACAGGAAGGTATATCTCTTGTAGTGTCAGAGTTATGTCACAGACAAAGTTCAAAGTGTAAAATGCGCGCAACAAATCGTCTCAATATGGTGATCATTTCTGTGAAATCTGACTTCAAAAACGAAGTTAGGGGCCAGACACGATTTTGCTGCAAGGTCATGTTGTGACCTTGGCCTTCAAGGTAGCGACCTAAATATTGCGCACAACATATTTTCTCAATATGGTGATCATTTCTGTGAAATAGTTGTAAAATCAGACTTCAAATAATGAAGTTATGGGCCGGACAGGAATTCTGGTCGTAAGTCCGTATGTACGGACGGACTGAAGGATGGACAACCTGGCTACTATATGCTCCCCCGAAATTTTTCAGGGAGCTTCATAAGATTCCATGACATTTCACTGACCAAATTAGGCTTTTCACTGACCAAAAATACCGCACTTAAACGACCTCCATCTCCCCTACAGCCACTCATTCTACCCATAAGTTTTTTTGTTGTTTATTTGTTTCTTTTAACAATATGGCATAGCATTTTTCAACAATAAAACATTCTTTATACATCTAAACAAAGTTTGGTAGTTTTGTTTTCAGTAATAAATTAAACTATGCAAAATAAGCACACAAATCTAACAAGATTTGAAACCGATATTTCTAAGATTATTGACAAAATAAATAATGTATGTTTTAGCCATTGACATGATAATAAAATATCACAAAACACACAAAAACTATAATGATTAAACAATATATTAACAAGGGTGCCATAGTCACAAAATACGCCCATTTACGAAAAAGCTTTAGATGGAGATGGGGGCATTATGGATAAGTGTTATCTAGCAAGCAAGTTTTTATTCTTGGCACTGTGTTGTTAAATGAACCTTAAAACAAATAAATAGGGAAGATATGCACAGAATGTGTGACCTTGACCTTGGTCGCAGGGACCTGAATTTTATGCACGGCACTCAGCCTCACAATGATGAACATTTGTGCGAAATTATATTGAAATCCCTCTATGCATGTAGAAGTTTTGCTCCAGACAAGTGTTTTTCTATGAGCTCTAACTGTGACCTTCACCTTTGACCTAGAGACTTGGTTTATGTGCAGGGCACTACGTCTCATGGTGGTGAACAATTCTATAAAAGTAACATTAAAATTCCTCCATGCATGTAGAAAATATGCTCCGGACAACATCTGGATATTTAATCATCTCCAGTGACCTTGACCTTGCAAATATTAACCTAAATTAAATGTGTAACACCTGTAGTCATGATAGTTACCATTTGTGCTACAATCCATCAATAAATGATGACTAAATGGTCCCTATAACCATCTTCAAATTTTTATCTGAACTTTGACCTCTATGTGTAACCTAGACTTTGGTCGCAGGGATCTGAATTTTGCATGCGACACTCAGCCTCACAATGGTGAACATTTGTGCCAAGTTATATTGAAAACCCCCTATGAATGTAGAAGTTTTGCTCCGGACAAGCGTTTTTCAATGAGCTCTAAGTGTGACCTTGACCTTTGACCTGGAGACCTGGATCATGCATGGAGCAATACATATCATGGTGGTGAACATTTCCATAAAGTATTATAAAAATTCTTCCATACATGTAGGAGATATGCTCCAGACAAAATCTGGATATTTCACCATCTTTAGTGACCTTGACCTTGCATATATTGACCTAAAGTACATGTGTCACATACGTAGTCATTATAATGACCATTTGTGTTACAATCCCTCAATAAATGATGATTAAATCGTCTCTATACACATCTTCATATTTTTATCTTTTTTTTAAACGTGCGTATAAAAAGTACATGTAATTTAATAACTAGAAAATTCTGATTTAAGATTTTATTCTAGGGAAATACATTTCATTACAATTCTTAATCTTTGAATGAGCTGAACTGATATTTACTTGAAAATTAAAATATAATTAAATTTCTATGAGAAAGTATTTACATTTGATAAGGTAATTACTGTATGATCTTTATGAACAAATACCAAGTCTACAGAACACCATAGTTATCACAGTTAAGAATCTTGACCAATGAATGAAACATGTGTAAATAAATGTTACATTCTTTAGAACATACTCAAGTCCAAGAAAGAGGATTATTTCATGCCCTTTGATTAAATTCTATTTTTAGAATTGAAAGTGAAAAAAGATCAAGGGGAGTAATTGTGTAAGTCATTTATGAACAAAGTAATAACTTTATTGTCTCCCTTTGATTAAATTCTATTTACAAAATCTGGATATTTCATCATCTTTAGTGACCTTGACCTTGTATATATTGACCTAAATTATATGTATCACAGCCATAGTCTTGATAATGACCATTTGTGTTACAATCCCTCAATAAATGATGACTAAATGGTCCATATACACATCTTCATATTTTTATCTGAACTTTGACCTCTATGTGTGACCTTGACCTTGGCCGCAAGGACCTGAATCTTGCACGCGACACTCCGCCTCACAATGGTGAACATTTGTGCCAAATAATATTGAAATCCCTCTATACATGTGGAAGTTTTGCTCCGGACAAGCATTTTTCAATGAGCTCTAAGTGTGACCTTGATCTTTGACCTAGAGACCTGGTTCATGTGCGCGACACTGCTCCTCATAGTGGTGAACATTTATATGAAGTTTCATTAAAATCCCTCCATACATGTAGGAGATATGCTCCGGACAAAATTGGACGCCGCCCGCCCGCCAGGGGCGTTCCCATAATACGTCCCGTTTTTCAAACGGGCGTATAAAAAGCAAGTGATTATCTCAACTGAAGCTAAAAAAAAATAAGTATATATTTCATACTATTGACTAAGATTATTGTCAATGCTACAGAGTAAAAGAAATATAACAGTCTGTAACTGTGCCCAGCAAACAACATATCCATTTTTGCACAAAACACCTTTCAGAAAGGATGCTCATTGACATTTTCGCGAAGGACACGCCCTCAGGCGCGTTCAGAGCTAAGACATCTACACATGGGATTTCGTCGGCTACAATCGCCCAAAGTGTCCTCAACCGATTAACAGCTCAAGAAATAGTACATGAATTTGATCCTTTAAAACTCCCATACTTTGTCGGGATATCTTAAAATCTTCCATATTTAGCCTTTTCAATTTCAAGTTAAAATATAAACGTATATGATTGATAAAAACTTTGTAGTCCCGTAGTATTATTGCGCAATATGCAAATTACTGCCGAAACGATTTACTGCTGTCGAAAAAGTAGGACAACAAATTATACTATAATAAAGGTGTAAGCTCTGAGTTCCAAGAAATTATTAGTAGGAAATCAATATTTCTACATTATACAAAACATTATTATTAACAAATCAAAAGTTTTTCGTGACTCTAGAATAACTCGCGCATTAACAAAAGAAGAACTATTTTCGTGACTCATACCGCGGGTTTAGCTGAATATTCAGCAGTTATTAATAAATTAGATACAGTGCAATGGTTAGTGTAAATATCTATTTTTGAAAATGCATGTAACAAGAGAGTTTTTCAACACTTTACCACCATGTAGTCTTTCATGGTAATCTTTATTGAAGGTCAAGTTATAATATCAGTTCTACTTCCGATTCTTGTGGTTTGTTTACATATTTTTCTAGGTCACGATTATATGAGTTAACCTTCCCTATTCTAAAAATAGATTCTGCTTCACCCTGTGCTGATTTTCGGACAGGCGATTAGGGAGTACACATTATATACACATGTAATAAACCAGCGGATTAAATGCAATACTTTTAGAAATTCTCTACAATTGTAAGAAGCAAACATTAGTTGAAAATGGAATTTAGTGTGAAATTGAAAAGGACAACTAAACACTGTAGTGCTTAAGTGACATTTAAATTAAAATAAAAACCATGTGCTCTGGCCTCTACATCTTTACCTTGTAAATAAAAGAAATCTAAAAAATACAATATTAATTGCTGATGATTTTAACCAAAAACATTTTTAATGAGACATATCCAAGAGAAATAAAAATACAAATGACTTATATTTTATTGTCTATATGCCCACTATGATATAACACGAAACAATTCTAAATAGCATTCTCACATGT